TGAAAAGGTAGGCTCATTTGCACTGGCCTCAAATTGCAATTGAGTGCAAAGCAAACATGGTTTAAGTAAATCATGCTGGATGGCTAACAGGGATTTGATTTCACATTTCATAAATGTAGATGAAGGTACAGAGAGGAGAGAATACACTCTCAGTAGGCATTTATACCTGAGACATTTTGATTACACTGCCCCCTGCCGACCTTTTGCAAGCACAACAGAAAATACAGTTATGTTCAACGGAGGAAAGCGCCCCCATCAGGCAGATGGTTAGAATGTAAGCCTATGGCCCACTAAAGACGAAGAGCAAGAGGTTGGCAGTGGCAACAATCCACACTTTTTATAAATGATTTGATGATTTTTTTGAAGATTGAAATCTGAATGAATATATATCATTTTCATTGTCATTGCATGCTTGGTTAAATAGCTATGTGCTTTGCAAGTAGAAATAGAGTGCATAGACTCAATCTGTTGTGGAACAGAACACTGTCATGTCTATGCATTCTATTTCTATGTCGATGCAATGTTGTCTAGAAAGTTTACCTCTTTTACGCCAAGCCTGTAGTCTCAACCTGTCCATCATTGCTTTATCATCATACTCACAGAATTTGACATGCTTGTGCTTTTGTGTTTAAAGTATAGAGAGAAAAAAATATATGCACTCACCAACTGTAAGTCGCTCTGGATAAGAGCGTCTGCTAAATGACTGAAATGTAAATGTAAAATCTATGACGAGAGAAAACTGAATATCCAATATAAAACGAATTTTACCTCTGAACCATATACATATCTGCTCTCTAAAAAGTTAATTAAACAATACTTTCCTGTGGATATTTTGTCTAACTGGTAGAATAATGTAATTATATGAAACATTCTGGCTTGTAAGGAACATTTACACATTTGAAAAATTGGTCACTTTTTGAATTCCTTCTCCTGTAACCTCTTTCGACATCTATTCAACATATTATTAGCCCAACACATGACATCTGTTCAACATATTAGCCCAACACATGATACATTTCTGAAATCCTCAAGATGTTTCCTAATCAAACAAAAATGACACATGTTGATATCATATTCCAAGGACACCCATTTGTGTACACTGAGCCAAAACCATATTTTCAGTGTGCGTTTGGTAAACTGGGACAGCATGGTTAGATAAACTAGGACACCATTATTATAGTCCTAATTGTATGGCGGCTAGTGCTGAGCGATTAGTGCTTTTTGAGGTCGGTTCGGTTTCAGTTCAATTATTAAAAAACAATCACGGTTTTCGATTTTATAATTTTTAATGCATTATGAAATAATGACATTACAATGATTTTAGAGCTGTTAAATGGAAATTCCAAAGCCCAAAATAGTGAACATTCAATTTCCAAAACCTTAAAAATATTATATGTCAGGTCCACATTGGGTAGACATCAATAGAAAAATAGGAAATGACTATGAAATAAAAACATATTTCAGTCAAAAGTTTAGACACACCTACTCATTCAAGGGTTTTTCTTTATTTTTACAATTTTTTACATTGTAGAATAATAGTGAAGACATCAAAACTATGAAATAACACATATGGAATCATGTAGTACCCAAAAAAGTGTTAAACAAATCTAAATATATTTTATATTTGAGATTCTTCAAATAGCCACCCTTTGCCTTGATGGCAGCTTTGCACACTCTTGGCATTCTCTCAACCAGCTTCATGAGGTAGTCACCTGGAATGCATTTCAATTAACAGGTGTGCCTTCTTAAAAGTTAATTTGTGGAATTTCTTTCCTTCTTAATGCGTTTGAGCCAATCAGTTGTGAGCCAATCATATTATGGCAAGAACAGCTCAAATAAGCAAAGAGAAACAACAGTCCATCATTACTTTAAGACATGAAGGTCAGTCAATATGGAACATTTAAATAACTTTGAAAGTTTTTTCAAGTGCAGTCGCAAAAACCATCAAGCGCTATGATGAAACTGGCTCTCATGAGGACCACCATAGGAATGGAAGACCCAGAATTACCTCTGCTGCCGAGGATAAGTTCATTAGAGTTACCAGCCTCAGAAATTGCAGCCCAAATAAATGCTTCACAGAGTTGAAGTCACAGACACATTTCAGCATCAACTGTTCAGAGGGGACTGTGTGAATCAGGCCTTCATGGTCGAATTGCTGCAAAGAAACCACTACTAAAGGACACCAATAATAAGAAGAGACCTGCTTGGGCCAAGAAACACGACCAATGGACATTAGACCGGTGGAAATTTGTCCTTTGATCTGGAGTCCAAATTTGAGATTTTTGGTTCCAACCGCTGTGTCTTTGTGAGACGCGGTGTGGGTGAACGGATGATCTCCACATGTGTAGTTCCCACCGTAAAGCATGGAGGAGTAGGTGTAATGGTGTGGGGGTGCTTAGCTGGTGACACTGTCTGTGATTTATTTAGAATTCAAGGCACACTTAACCAGCATGGCTACCACAGCATTCTGCAGCGATACACCATCCCATCGGGTTTGGGCTTAGTGGGACTATCATTTGTTTTTCAACAGGACAATTACCCAACACACCTCCAGGCTGTGTAAGGGCTATTTTACCAAGAAGGAGAGTGATGGAGTACTGCATCAGATGACCTGGCCTCCACAATCCCCTGACCTCAACCCAATTGAGATGGTTTGGGATGAGTCGGATGGCAGAGTGAAGGAAAAGCGCCAACAAGTGCTAAGCATATGTGGGAACTCCTTCAAGACTGTTGGACAAGCATTCCAGGTGAAGCTGGTTGAGAGAATATCAAGAGTGTGCAAAGCTGTCATCAAGGCAAGGGGTGGCTATTTGAAGAATCTCAAATATAAAATATATTTTGATTTGTTTAACACTTTTTTGGTTACTACATGATTCCATATGTGTTATTTCACAGTTATGATGTATTCACTATTATTCTACAATGTAAAAATAAAGAAAAACCCTTGAATGAGTAGGGGTGTCCAAACTTTTGACTGGTACTGTATACATATTTTTTAGCTAAACAGGTGGGGCTCAAAACAGAGCCCCACTGTACTGTACTAAGGAAATTGTATTTCTATAGCTAGGGCTGACAGTGAGGACTTGTGAAGAGCTGAATCAACAACCTCTGCATAATCAAACAAGATGCTTTGTGAGACGGGTGTTTGTTAGCCATTGTTTTAGCCGATGTAAATGAACGCTGGGGTAAATCCTTTATGGAAATACTCCATGGCTTTGTCGCTTATTGAAAGTCTGGGAAGAGGTAATTAGCATCCACTGTGTTGTTGAATGGGTCTGTAAAGTCCCCAAAAACTAAATGTTCATAATTGCACAGATGATTGTGTGTTTTGTTATACATAACTTAGAGAACGTCAATAGCACATATTGTATATTTCCTTAATCGTGTATTAAACTGATAGAAATCTGCAATGAGTTTGTTGTGTGTGTCGCCATCTTTAGTAAGGGACAATGTAGACTGTGCAAGTATGATAACTTCCAACGGGCTAAAGGAAATGTTTCAATGTCCAAATGTTAATGACCATTTTAAATATCTCAAACGAAATGATGTAGGTTGTTTTGAATTGAAAATGCACGGTTAGTTTACTCGAAAATGCATTAATTGGTAGCGGTTCTCTACCAGTCGCCATGTTTGTTTTGGGTGACGCCAAATCGCTGTATTTTCCTCCCCTTTGGGTTGTCAAGAAGATGGCAGCTTCCAGGCAGGCATGAGAGGGAATAATTCATCACAAATCGAATGAACTTAGGCTAGTGATTCAAGAGTAGACCCTCAAATCATCTTATTGGAAATAGTGCGTCGAAAGAAGTAAGTAATGCGTCTTATGGACGTCAGGTTTTGTGACTATAGGTGTTTTGTTGTGGCAGACTGCTCGGCCATTTTTCTTGAGGGAGCTTAAAAGTAGGCCGATTTTCGAAAAGATGGCCGATTCCAGACACGGCATGATAAATAACAACACTTTGTATGATATTGAATAACATTCAGCTTATTTGAATAATAAATATATTGAACACTGGCTATATAATACATGTATATTTATCTAACTGAATTGCATGTAATCGGTGCATGTCGCTGTACTAGTACCGTTGCCTCGCATGCTAACATTGTTAGCCAGCTGGCTACGTTAACCTAGCTAATTAGCTATTACTCCGTAGTGCACGCGCGGTTTTCTAATTGATGTGTTGTGAAAGTTCCACTTTTCACGTGGTGGTGTGCATCTGACTTGCATTCGATTCCTCTTGAAATATTTATACAATTTTAATGTAGAGCAGAAACGGAGACAGATTGAATGAATGTGACACAATATGGCGACTCCCAGAGAAGCATGAAAATAGCAATCCACAGTAAACAGGGGTCTAATTAAAAATGCTTTACGTGTATTTAATTGTGGTGCACTTCATCCACAAATTTACCAATATGACTGTAGTGGGATATGGCTGGTACGAGTTATTGATGAAGCAGTAGATTAAACCTTAAATTAACTAACACCGGTATTATTTGTCTGTTTCATTTGTATTCTCTTCCGCCATTTTTCAGACTGGCTGAGGTTTGTTTGGTTGTTACAAGATGGCGGCTCCCATGGAGTAGCACTCTATGATTACTTCAGAGCTTTAACGGCAAAATGCTACTGCAAAAAAACGACATTTAGAAAGAAGTACAATACAACTTTGTTATACGTTGAGTTGTGGTGATTAATACATATTTATAATTATATTTAGTAAGTATTAGGTGTATTGTGGTAATAATAGCCGGCTTTTTGCGAAGCGTTGTTAAAATGGCGGCTTCCCTGGACTTTACAATTACCATATTATTTTTCACATGTACGCTGTCAATGCATCGGTTTTGGTCCCAGCAATCGAGTGCACGTGCAGTCTTCACTTTGCAAAATGTGTCTTATGTTTTGGTTTTACTTCGCAAGTATCAACAATAGACCTTATCAGAACTTGTCAATATTGCTTTGGAATGCTCCTTTTTTTGTAATTTTTTTTTTTTTTCATCTGAAGAGGACATGACATTTCCTGGTTCCGTGGTGTCTGGGACCACTAGTTCATCTCTGCAGCCACGATGGAAGCGGGTTCTAGGATGGTCTGGGCCTGTGCCTCGGCCCAGACATGGTCACAGAGCCGTTGCTATAAAGGAATTGATGGTTGTTTTTGGAGGAGGAAATGAAGGAATTGTGGATGAATTGCATGTCTACAACACAGGTAAGATAATTTAGCGGAAATGTGTAGCCTGACCTATTTATTACCTGAGAAACTGTCGCCGTCTGGTGGTACAGAACTGAAAGCGCACAAAAAAAATGGCGCGCTAAAATTAAATGGACGACAGGGGTACCGTTTTGAACACTAAATTATGCTGTATCGCATGTGGAATGGATGCACGCAATTTCTGTTCACATGACTGTACTGATATTTTCCTGAGTAGCAAAGTTAGGTAGGCCTATTTCAACATTTTGTTCCCAAGAAAGACAATGGATTGCAGCAATTCCCATGTTTTATGATATTGTGACTTATGTAGTCAACATGCACAGCTATACAAGTCTTACATTCTTCTTATTGTCTATGTTTACTTTTATGAGGGAGAAAGTATGTTACAATTGACATTTCAGTTGTTGTTTTTAATCTTTGGGTTATGCAGATATAAGTACAATGTATAGAATATTCAACATGCACTTCTCATGTGACATACCTGGCCTGAAGATGCAGGCTGCATTTGTCAGAGATGCTTGGATCATGCTCAAGTAAATATTTACTCAAAGAGCATTCGCTTCACACCTCACATCATAGGCGTACCTAGCACTTGACAACCCAACGTTGTCTACACACAGACTAACCTCTACTTGTTTCATCTAGCAACAAACCAATGGTTTATCCCTGCGGTTCGTGGTGATATTCCCCCTGGATGTGCTGCATACGGTTTTGTTTGTGATGGCACCCGGCTTCTGGTGTTTGGTGGAATGGTGGAATATGGAAAATACAGCAACGATCTCTATGAGCTACAGGTATTGGAATGCTTACAGCACACTCTCGCTCTAAACATTGGTAGCGATAAAACCAGGGATAAAATGGCTGTCTTTAAGTACTTATAAATAGATTATTATGATTACTGGATTACAGCATGCTATCATCTTTTGCATTTTGTCTTGTATGCTTTTTCTTGTTCAGGCCAGCAGATGGGAATGGAAAAAGTTAAAAGCTAAGTCCCCCAAAAATGGCCCACCTCCCTGTGCTCGACTTGGCCACAGTTTCTCTCTGGTGGGCAACAAGTGCTTCTTGTTTGGAGGGCTGGCTAATGACAGCGAGGACCCCAAAAACAACATCCCTAGGTACAGTTGCCATAAGAAGGAGACGTGAAATGTGACCAGTGGAGTAACAGGATAAACTGATGGGGCGGCAGGTAGCCTAGCGGTTAAGAGGTTTGAATCCCTGAACCGACTAGGTGAAAAATCTGTCGATGTGCCCTTGAGCAAGGCACTTAACCCCAATTGCTCCTGTAAGTCACTCTGGATAAGAGACTGCTAAATTACTAAAATGTGAATGGTTTCTAGTAAGTACTGCTTGACTTGGGCAGGAGCTCACTGGAGCGGAGTACCGGCTCCTTTAAATATTCTACTGCTTGAGCGCCTGTTCCTCTTATAGAATACTAGCTCTAAAGTCTTTTGGAGCTCCTGCCCCTAAATATAAACAGTACTGGCACCCAAAATGAGCACTGGTAGTAAGCAATTGGAAAGACAAAGACATTCTGACTGAAATCTCTCTTTTGTCACTAGATACCTGAATGATCTGTACACCCTGGAGCTTCGTGCTGGCTCCAGTGTTGTGGGCTGGGATATACCAATTACTTATGGTGTTTTGCCTCCTCCTCGCGAGAGCCACACTGCTGTAGTGTACACAGAAAAGGAGAGCAAGAAATCTCACCTGATCATCTATGGAGGGATGAGTGGCTGTCGTCTGGGAGATCTATGGACTCTTGACATTGGTAGGCTCCCGAGTTAACAGTATTACCATATTATTAACAGTGAACCATTTGTCTCTTACTCTAATGAATCAGTCTTGTCAATGTATTTTCTAAATTATCTTGCTCTGTCTACAGACACCCTGACCTGGACTAAGCCATCAGTGAATGGCACAGCACCTCTGCCCAGGAGTCTCCACTCTGCCATCACCATCACAAACAAGTGAGATCTCCCTAAATACCTGTTGGAAAGATCAATTCAGTGTCTGGGATAACAATCGGTTAAATCTCTCTCAGCAGAAACCTATTTTGTGACTGCTTGCTTCTGATCTCTTTGTCTGCCTCTCATTGTAGGATGTTTGTGTTTGGGGGATGGGTTCCCCTTGTTATGGATGACGTGAAGGTGGCAACACATGAAAAGGAATGGAAGTGCACAAACACACTGGCCTGCCTAAATCTCGGTTCGTCTTTCCCATTTTAAGTTATTGGTGCTAATACTTGCATTTAAACCTTACATACTGTTGAGTAAAGTTTATATAGATTTGTGCATTATGAATTGACCTACTTCAACAAGCTCATTCTGAGTGAAACCATTCACTGTGACACTTCCATTGATAAATGGCACAGTGTCACCTGGTGGTGAAATTATATTACTGTCAAAAAATAAAATGTAACCCTCATGTTTCTTTTTACCCCAGACTCCATGGCCTGGGAATCAGTGTTGATGGATACCTTGGAGGACAATATCCCAAGGGCCCGGGCAGGACATTGTTCTGTGGCCATCAACTCCAGGTTGTATGTCTGGAGTGGCCGTGACGGTTACCGTAAAGCATGGAACAACCAAGTCTGTTGTAAAGACCTCTGGTACCTTGAGACAGGTGAGTCACCATTATTTTGCTCATTTACTCTGATAAAGCAAGCCCACATTATTTGCTCACGTGTGCTCTTGGCAAGGCTTACTCTGCTTCTGTTGATTGCTTATAAGAAATGTGATCATTTTGTCTTTTGGTTACAGAGAGGCCACACGCTCCCTCGAGGGTGCAGCTTGTCCGTGCCAACACCAACTCCCTGGAGGTGAGCTGGGGCGCTGTGTCCACCTCAGACACCTACCTGCTGCAGCTGCAGAAGTACGACATCCCAGCTGCCACTGCTGCCACCTCGCCGGCCCTCACCGCCACCTCTTCTTTGCCAGGGAACTCGCCCAAAAGCCCAGCTGCAGCTGCTCCCTCTGCTCAGAACCTACCACACACAGGTATCACTATGGTGCCCCATGCTTCCTCCCCTACTATCCTTCCCAACATGCCCGGAAGCCCGCTGGCTGCCTCCACAGCTCCTGGGCCAGTTAAAACCATGCATGTCCTACTTGTTTTGTGGAGGCTGTTCGTACCATTTTGTGGACTATCGTCATAGATAGTTTGCATTGTTCTCTTCTACAGCACATTGTATTTCGATAACCGTAGCCCAAAATGGTATGTATAAAGCAGACCTCGAAGGCTCTATAATGAGCAGGTATTCTGTTTATTTGACAGCCATCTTGAAGGTTGCAGCCCCTCAGTCTGGCACGGGTACCTCCCTTGTTACTGTGCGAGCCAACCAGGCTGGGAAATCCCCTGTCACTGTGACATCACTTCTTCCAGGAGTTCGGATGATGGTTCCTGCCCAGACTGCCCAAGGAACGGTATGGACAATTGTGAATTGGTTTTGTTATTCAAGGATAAAAAGTTGTCAAGAGTAATGCCAAGAGAGCATTGTCTCACTCAAGACTGTTTGTTTTCCTTTAAGCCAATTGGCAATAGCCCTCAGATGAGTGGCATGGCAGCTTTGGCTGCAGCTGCAGCAGCCACACAGAAGATCCCGCCCTCTTCAGGCACTGTGCTCAACATTCCAGCAGGTGCCACCCTTGTCAAAACCATAGCTGTCTCCCCTGGCTCCACCACAGTCAAAACGTCATCTCCTCTCATGGTAAGACTCCTAAAATATCAGTCTGTGGAAATGAAACTCGCTGGCAGAATGTATGGGTTTGTCAGGCAGTCTCTGTCAAGGCCCAGTTTAGAATTGACACCGGAAAAAACATTTAGTATTTTCTACTTCCAGGTCAGTAACCCAGCCACTCGCATGCTGAAGACGGCTGCAGCTCAGGTGGGCACAGCGACTGTATCATCACCCAACTCGCCCAACCGACCCATCATCACTGTGCACAAGTCAGGCACGGTCACTGTAGCCCAGCAACACCAGGTGGTTACCACCATGGTGGGAGGAGTCACCAAGACCATCACCCTGGTCAAGAGCCCCCTTACTATGGGAGGCAGCGGCACTCTGGTGAGAGAACTAGACAGTCTTACAGGACAGGGAGGGAGTACAGGGAGAAGGCTGTGTGAGAAATGGCTCTCCTTATACAAGATCCCACTTAAGGATTTTATATGCATGCCGTGAACTGAGAAATAGTTCTGCACACTTGGATTTCTTTATTTCGTCCCCCACCTGTATCCATATGACTCTAGGCATGAACCCGTTATAGAAGATGTGGCTGTGGAAAACAGCTTGATTTCATAGATCTGCATGACTGTCAGGGTCAGTTAGCATGGAATAATGTGGCTAGCCACACTCACAGTTCAGTTGTCCGCCTGACACACTGATTTCCTGAGGCCAAATACTGTGATGTTTTCTGGTGACTCATAAACTTGAGTCTCTCTCCTATGTCAGCAGATCTCCAGCCTTGGCAAGATGATATCTGTGGTACAAACCAAGCCAGTGCAGACATCAGCTGTTACAGGCCAGGCTTCCATTAACCCTCTATCACAGCTCATACAGGTCAGCTATCTTCATGAGTGCAGGAAAAGGAGCTAGCTAATACTCCATGGACAGGCACAGCCGGCTTTCACTTGATCATATTCATAATCCACTTTGTCTCCCGTAGACTAAGGGTTCTCTCCCTGCCGGCACCATACTGAAGCTGGTGACATCAGCAGACGGCAAGCCCACCACAATCATCACCACGTCCCAGGCAGGGGGCACAGGGAACAAGCCCACCATCCTGAACATCAGTGGCATGTCACCCACCACAAGCAAACAGGGCACCACCATCATCAAGACCATCCCAATGTCTGCTATTATGACCCAGCCTGGAGCCACAGGTCAGAACCCACTGGCTTCATGTTTCAGGGACAATACAACAGAATACAATGGGACCATATGCTGACAGGTATTATAATTTTTTGTTTTGTTAACAGTGACCAGCAGCATAGGGAAGATGCCCTACACCATCCTCACCACCAAGATGATGACCTCTGGCACTCCAGGCAAAATCATCACTACCATGCCCAAGCTTGGCACTGCAACTGGCCAGCAGGGGCTGACACAGGTACCTCACAGAAATGACCCTTACAACCTCTTGTAGCAAATGCATGATATTGCACAATATTTATGTGTTGAAGATGTTTCACAGTTTTTACATTGGTGCTCTTTCCTATAACTTTTAAATATCACATGGCATTTATATTTAGTCACATACGATACATCCCGTACAGCAAAGCCTTTGGAGCAGTTGAAATGCTTGTATACTTCTGGGGACTATATTTGGATCTGCTCTGTTGATTGGTGCTACTAATACATTTGGCTGTATCAAATGTCTTGCCCTAGTAGATTAGTTTTATAGTGCCCCCTAGTGTCTCAATTATACCTCCCCCTTGGTGGTTTTAAGGTGGTTTTGAAGGGTGCTCCGGGCCAACCTGGTACCATTCTGCGCACTGTACCCATGGGTGGAGTCCGACTCGTCACCCCGGTTACGATGACTTCTGTTAAGCCCAATGTAACTACACTGGTCGTCAAGGGAACAACTGGTATGGATGACATTTCATAATTACTCCTTGATTGCAAATGGTCTGTTCAATTAATAAGCATGCAGTAAAAAAAAATCTGGCAAAGTTTCAGCTGTCTGCCCTTTGAGTTTGTGATTTATTTGTTCCCCTAGGTGTCACCACCCTGGGGACAGTCACAGGCACAGTCTCCTCCAGCCTGGCAGGGGGAAGTGTAGCCAGTGCCAATGCCTCTCTGGCAACTCCCATTGCCACCCTGGGAACCATCGCCACCCTGCCCAGCCAAGTCATCAACCCCACTGCCATCACTGTGTCAGCGGCCCAGGCCAGTCTGACCACAGCCACTACCCTGTCCACCTCCACCATGGTAAGACAGCTAGGGGCTATTCTTTATACAGAAATGTAGATGTAGCTCCAATTTATGTTATTGAGAATTGGAACATGAAATGTCATGCTGCCCAATGTGGAGCACTTTTTGAATGGGTTTTCTCAGTCATAATCAATACCTGATATGCTCTCATTGCAGTCGTTGAACCAGCCAACCCAGGTGACTCTCATCACCACCCCCAGCGGGGTTGAGGCCCAGCCAGTGCAGGACCTGCCTGTGTCCTTCCTGGCCTCACCCACCTCTGAGCAGCCCTCCTCCACTGGGGTTGGGGATGCCCCTGGTACTGTCACCATGGTCTGCTCCAACCCCCCCTGTGAGACCCACGAGACAGGAACCACTAACACAGCAACCACAGCCGCCTCCACTATAGGTGGGGTGCAAAAGGTCTGCTCCAACCCCCCCTGTGAGACGCATGAGACGGGCACCACCAACACGGCCACCACTGCATCTGCTAACATGTCAGTGCCGCGTGTCTGCTCCAACCCTCCTTGTGAGACCCACGAGACTGGAACCACCAACACCGCAACGACCACTTCCACCAACATGGGAGTGGCAATGAGGGTGTGTACAAGCCCTCCGTCAGAGACCCATGAGATGGGCACCACTAACACCTCGACGACCACCCACTCCATCATGGGCACTAACCAAATGGGTACTGTCCAGAGTAGCTCATCATCTCTGCCCTCCTCTCCCCCTCAGACGACCACCTCTGCTTACCCCGGAACTGCCACAGGCAACCAGGGACCAGAAAACCTGCGCACCGGCACCACCTTCACCCCCACCACAGCACGCTCTAACATGGGCTCAGCCCAGACCGGCACCGTGCAGAGTCCCAAGCCAGCCGTGGGCCTTACGGTTTGCTCTAACCCGCCCTGCGAGACACATGAAACGGGCACAACCAGCACTGCCACTCAGTCCTCGTCCGGCATGGGTAACGGGCAGACTGGCACTGTGCAGAAGGTGTGCTCAAACCCACCCTGCGAGACCCACGAAACGGGGACCACCAGCACCCCGTCCCAGGCCAGCTCCAACATGGCTGGGAACCAGACAGGAACAGGGACGGTGCAGAGGGTGTGTTCCAACCCCCCCTGTGAAACCCACGAGACTGGCACCACCAACACGGCAACTACTGCCACAGGTATAATGCTAGAATACATACTTGTTTTCAATATTTTTATTTTTAAAAATGTTGTAGGATTATATTTCATGCCCTGTGTTAATGCGTGTCCTACAGCAGATGGAGCAGACGGAAGCACCAGCAGTACAGAGACTCCCTCCACCACTGCATCAGGAACAACCCCAGCCACCACCCAGAGCAGAGCCATCACTACTGTGACCCAGTCCACACCAGCCCCGGGGCCCTCAGTACCTGTAAAAGAAGCACTAACAATACTTTGCCAGTCTAGACTACTGATGCACTAGCAATTTCAGAATTGTCATGCTAACGGTCTAGTTCTAAATCACTCACTGGCATGGTTAGGCAAATTATCAGCAACTAATGCCAAAAATAAATGCATTATATTGACAATTCAGTCATCTTGGCCATTTTAAGAATTTGCACTCTTGCTCATTTCTACCCTTGTATTTCCAGTCCATTTCTTCAATCACTGAGGGTGCAGCAGTTTCCACAGAAGAGCCCATGCAGACTGATGCGGCCACAGAGGGGGGAGACACCGCTATGGAGACTGGGCTCCCCCCAGAGCTGATGTCAGAGGGACAGATGGGAACAGGTCTGTCTACAGAGGAACTGGCTGTGACTGCAGCAGCGGAGGCAGCAGCACAGGCCCGGGCCATCCAGGCAGTTCTCCAGGCAGCACAGCAGGTCGCCATGAGTAAGTATGGACTTCAGATTGTTGGTAAATTACATAGATTAATCTGAAGACTTAACGTGTGTGAAGACAACCGCTACCCATTTACATTTTGGTCATTTAGCAGACGCTCTTAACCAGAGCGACTAACCGATGCAATTGGGGTTAAAAGCCTTGCTCAAGGGCACATCGACAGATTTTTCACCTAGTCAGCTCTGGGATTCAAACCAGCAACCTTTTGGTTACTGGCCCAACGGTCTTTAACCGCTAGGCTACCTGCCACCCCAACTGCCACAGTCTCACAATCAAAATGTAAGTTCTTTGCATGCATAGACGAGGGTGATTCTGGCTCAGACGGACAGCAGACCACCACAATCCCCATCGTTCTGACCCAGCAAGAGCTGGCGGGCCTGGTCCAGCAGCAGCAGCAGCTCCAGGAGGCTCAGGCCCAAGCCCAGGCCCAGCAGCAAGGAAACACCCAAGCCCTGCCCACTGAGGGCCTGGCTCCCGCAGACAGCCTCAATGACCCCACGTCTGAGAGCAACGGACACAATGAGATGGTTGCAGCCATTTCCAGTGCAGTGGCATCACTGCTGCCGCGCACCTCCACTGAGAGTAAGTCTTTCTGAAAAATTTAAAAAATGCTTTGTTCTTACTGATAGTGTTTCTCCAGGTCTTAAATTGACCTCTCCCTTGTGTCCCATTGACTCTGTAGCTTTGGCCCCCTCAAGCACATTTGCTGTTTCCAGTCCAGCCAAGCTGCAACCTGCAGCTTCTCTAGCAGAGATGGCCAATGGCATCGAGGGTGGGGTGAGTACCCATATTGGTCCTGTTTTTATCCTGCCGGTTTGATGATCAGAATTTGAGAGGAACATTGAATGGCATAGCATGTTCTAACTCCCTTTTTGTCTCTGTCATACAGAAGCTAAACCCTCAACCAGCCCCTATCAAGACACTTGTAAAAAAAGAGAACCAATGGTTCGATGTTGGAATCGTCAAGGTGACAAACATGGTGGTCACACACTTCTTCATCCCAGGGGACAATTCTCAAGTAGAGGTAAGCCTCAAAGATGGATTCATCTCCCGAGTGGCGCAGCGGTCTAAGGCACTACATTGCAGTGCTTGAGGCATCACTACAGACCCAGGTTCGATCCCAGGCTGTGTCACAACCGGCTGTGACCGGGAGTCCCATAGAGCGGCGCACAATTTGGCCCAGCGTCGTCCGGGTTAGGGGAGGGTTTGGCCGAGTGGGCTTTACTCGCGCTCTAGCGACTCCTTGTGGCGGGCCGGGCACCTGCAGGCTGACTTTGGTCGTCAGTTGAACAGTGTTTCCTCCGACACATTGGTGCAGCTGGCTTCCGGGTTAAGCGGGCGGGTGTTAAGGAGCACGGTTTGGCGGGTCATGTTTTGGAGGACGCATGACTTGACCTTCGCCTCTCCCAAGCCCGTTGGGGAATTGCAGTGATGACACAAGATCGCAATTGGATATCACGAAATTGGGGAGAAAAAGGGGGTAAAATACACCAAAATAACTAACAATAGATAGATAGATTCATGCCTTTATGGCTTAGAGATCAGTGAGTTTAGTGCAGCACTAACGATGTGTGTGTTGTAGGATGACTCTGGTGCCATCCCAGACTACAACCAGATGAAGAAAATGGAGCTGCAGCCTGGCACAGCCTACAAGTTCCGTGTCGCTGGCATCAATGCTTGTGGTCGTGGTTCCTTCTCAGAGATCTCTGCTTTCAAGACCTGTCTACCAGGCTTCCCAGGAGCACCTTGTGCCATCAAAATAAGCAAGGTAAAACTATGCAAACTAGTCATGAAACAATTACTGTATTAGAACACCCTTGACAAATAAACACAAGTTGTCAAGTTTTTCTAGTCTTGATGGAATGTTGATTGTATTTTTGCTGGTTTTGCGTTAAAACAACAGTTCCATCTTTTCCCCCTCAGAGCCCAGATGGTGCCCACCTTACCTGGGAGCCTCCTTCGGTGACATCAGGGAAGATCATTGAGTATTCTGTGTACCTGGCCATCCAAAGCACCCAGACAGCTGAGCCCAAGACCTCCACCCCAGCCCAGCTGGCCTTCATGCGGGTGTACTGTGGGCCCAACCCCGCCTGCCTGGTGCAGTCCACCAGCCTCTCGAACGCCCACATAGACTACACCACCAAGCCCGCCATCATCTTCCGCATAGCCGCACGCAACGAGAAGGGCTACGGCCCTGCCACACAAGTCCGATGGCTGCAAGGTGGGCAGACTGATTTTAAATTCTGCTGTTCAACTAAATGGAGCAGCGTCTTATCAATCGTAATTATGGTTGTACTTGATTTGTTTGTGTTTTTAAGTAAGGTTTCCCTTGAATGGATTTCTCTCCCCTTTTCAGAGTCCAGCAAAGATGGCGCCTCAGCAAAACCAGCCCCAAAAAGACCAGTTTCCTCACCTGATGTGTAAGTACCTGGTTCCATCTAGGCTACATTACATCACTCACTGGTCACTCAACAAAGGCAAATGATCTTAAAAATACAGTTTTGCTTTCTGTCTGCCCTGCAGTAAGGCTGCTGGTCAAAAGAAAGCAAGAACGGACCAGTGAGATGGCACAGATGACCCCCCCCCCCCCCCCCCCCCCCCCCCCCGCTCTCCTTTTTGACCAGGAAGACTGATCTCTTCATCCTCATCCTGACCCCATCCTCGAGTTGACCCACAACCAGCCAGCAACAAAAGCAAAATGGCAGCAGAAACCCTAGATGAAAATCAATAAGAGAGATGGTTCTGTAGGCAAGACCCCTTTTTCTATAGGTCATATTCTTTCTATAGCAACACAAATTAAAAAAGCACATTATAGCTTTTACTTCATTAGTCTTTTTCGTTTTTCTTTCCCCCTAGCTACTTTTATTATACATATTTGTGGCTAGTTTCAGTAGTTGTAGAGAAACATTTACAGCGTCACAAGCTGTGAGCCGGCCTGAGCTTAATGTTACTTTTTTTTTAATTATTTTTGGGGGATGTAGAGAGAGGAACTTCATGAGATGATGTACAGTTTGAGCATGTGCTGAACAGGAGGCAGTGGTGGTGTTGGTTTAGATGGGAGGAACAATCAAAATGGAAAAACAAACAAAGCACTTGTCCTCAAAAGGGGAAATGTTTTCCCTCAAGCAGAAATGTTCTTCATTTAAGAAACCAATATATACAGACATCATACTGGACTCCAGTCTCCTGGTAATCTCATCACTGTGCTTTTGCCCCTGAGATGAGGATTGATGGCTCTGGTGGAGAAAGGATTGAATGACGAAGGAAGACATTTGTGGAGGAACAGAGACTTTGCTAGGACTGAAAATAAAATAAAATAGCAAGCAATGATGCAGAACTTTGCGTGGTTTTTTTCTATTTTTTTAAGCTTTTCCCTGTGTGTATCACCATGCATTTTTAAAACGTCAACTGCTTTTCTTTTTTTATGTTTATTATTGTTCATCCCCATAGTTTAAGTGTTTGTGGGAAGAGGGGTGACAGTGCTGAGGTAGCCACTATATTTTAAAATATTGGTTTGATCAGTTGTATGTTCTTGTTGTATCAGAGAGTATGAAAAATAAAGGCTTTTGTATTTGTTCTGACTAGGACCGCAAATGTAATAGGACTGAAGGGAATTTGAAACAGACCCATGGAGAGGAGTGCATTTTGTTTACTACATCTTCCAATGCTTGTGTTGCTGTGTGTATGCCAAACATGGACAATTAATGAAGAAGAATCTGATCAGTTCCACATTCCTTCCCTCCTGCCCCAATACACCACCTTTCCAACCAGTAATTTGTATACGCTTTTCTTTTGGACTCATTAATTTGAGTACCCACCCCACTCCTTAAATTTATTTTAGACCATGAAATAATATATTTGGAGACTTTCCTTCCTGATACTGTTGAGGAAGATGTGTATTTAATTTTTTTAGGCTCTGTATTTGACCAATTATAGAGGTGAGATGTGCAAGTTAATTGTGAGAAGTATACCTGTATGTTTTTAAATTGGGATGTCTTGGTGGGGAAGGAAGATGCATAGCCAGAGTTTGGACTCGCTTGTAAATTAGTTATTCCATAGCAAGAATAAAATAACATCTTGGCCTTTTATATAATTACCTGTACCAAAATGTTTTTACATGTTGGTCATCTCGATTGCCTTTTGTGTCATGACTTTATATAAAAAAACATGGTGTGTATAGATGTCTCTATATATATATATATATATATATATATATATATATATATATATATATATATTATATATATAGATATAGATAATCTCTATATCATCTCCCTGATCAATTGCTATGACTTGCATTTGTAAAACAGATTTGCTCAGAATCACATCGAGGTGCATTACCAGTACCGAAATATTTATATTCAGGATAAATCACCCATGGAGTTTTATAGAGAGGGAAGTCGTGGAGTGGTGATGACTGTATTCAGTATGTAAAAATAAAGATAGTTTTCAGAATGGAAATGGCCAGAGGGTAATGAAGCCAAGGGAGAACTTGCTACCTCTCAGGATTGTAGTACTTGCACCTTGGTTTCAGTCTCTCGATTCTCCTGATTTACTTCTATAATGAAAACCCTAATTCATATATATCCATGATTTTGAGTAAAACTAGACATGCATGCAACCAGTGTATTTTAGTAGTGATGCCTTAAATTAGACCATAAACTGAAGGATCTGAAAAAAAAAAACATTTGAGTTTGTTCCTTTCCATGTGGTATACAAATGTGTCTGTTCTTTTCTTCCACAGTACCTTCACAGAGTCACATTTTGCACCCTTATTAGGTCGGTCATCAACAGTGCGGAGGTCTCTCTGAACTTTTCCTCCCACACTGAGGCAGGTGCTGGTCTTACCGCTGACACTTGACGTTGCGAGTTTCTTCCGGTTGTTTGCAGGTTATCTGGAATTGTCCTATATTTTCCAATGTGTGTTTTTGTACTGTAGGAAGTAATGTATCATATATCATCAAAATAAACATGTTAAACATCACAATTTCCCGTCATTGTGGGATACTTTGATAAGTTTACCGTTTTATATGAGTTTTTATTTGGAATTCAGTTGTTTTCAGACTTGATTTGTTCGTTTTAATTTAGTTTAAGTTGTATACAAATATTTCAGTTTCGTATTTATATTATTTAGTTTCAGTTTTAGTGTTAAGGACAGAACATGCATGGGAGGCTGTATTGTTTTTGTGTTTTTTTGTCACTACAGGGGGGCCGTTATAAAGTGAAGGGTCAGGTCATATGTTTGGTTTAAATTATATAAAGTCAATGGCCGTGTTCGAGAGCATCGAAACCGTGATGTATCATGGGTAAATTGTGACTGACTGATCTACAAATTATATTGAAATGAAATTGTATTTGTCACATGCGCCGAATACAACAAGTGTAGTGTCGTATATGATGAATGGTGGCCATTATTGCTGTCAACAAAAGGAGTCCGCTCATACTGAATGTTGATCATAAGGTTTATTCAGACCACAAGCTTCAGCATGAGTAACAGACTCGCGAGGTCTGGAGAACAGTGTCCTCCCATTCTAGGGGCTGCTCTGGGGTTTATTGTCTAAAACCCTTACTATATAGACAATACCAAAATAAGGGTTACCCCCTCTTCTGGCCAATCACCAGTCTCCCCTCGGGCGTCACCCTCCAAGCGGCACATTTCAAATAACATATTGAAGATTATGATGGGGCTAAATGTTTTTCATGACGAAATGGAATGTTGGTTGTTCAGGCAAGAGGGGGGATGTTTTATGATGTTATTTGAAATGTGCCGCTTGGAGGGTGACGCCCGAGGGGAGACTGGTGATTGGCCAGAAGAGGGGGTAACCCTTATTTTGGTATTGTCTATATAAGAAGGGTTTTAGACAATAAACCCCAGAGCAGCCCCTAGAATGGGAGGACACTGTTCTCCAGACCTCGCGAGTCTGTTACTCATGCTGAAGCTTGTGGTCTGAATAAACCTTATGATCAACATTCAGTATGAGCGGACTCCTTTTGTTGACAGCAATAATGGCCACCATTCATCATATACGACAGTAGACCTTACAGTGAAATGTTTACTTACAAGCCCTTAACCAACAACGCAATTTTAAGAAAGAATACCCCCCCCCCCCCCCAAATAAAAAAAAATACATAAAAAAAAAAAAATACAAGTAACAAATAACTAAAGAGCAGCAGTAAAATAAGAATAGCGAGGCTATATACAGGGGGTACCGGTACCGAGTCAATGTGTGTTGGGGGAGGGGGATGCAAATAGTCTGGGTAGCCATTTGATTAGATGTTCAGGAGTCTTCTAGCTTGGGGGTAGAAGCTGTTTAGAAGCCTCTTGGACCTAGACTTGGCGCTCCGGGTACTGCTTGCCGTGCGGTAGCAGAGAGAACAGTCTATTACTAGGGTTGAGTCACAAGCTGTGTTCGAATACCCATACTAACATACTGTATACTACATACTTAATGAGTATATACTACATACTATTAGTTCATTTTAGTATACTGTAAACGAACGGTATCGTTTCAGTTGAGCGTACTAGAGCTTGCCTGTCTACCGGAAGTTGATGCTGTTGCTATGCAACCTTTTACTAGCATAACAAATGACTAGCTAAACATTGTACGATTTCGGGTGTGTTCGTAAATTCAATCTGGAGTGCCAGAGTGCGCTCTGGGCGTTCGTAAATCCAGAGCGTTGTCAGATTGTCCGTTCGTAAATTCAGAGCGTTTAGCTCTCGGAGTCACAAGCTGTGTTCGAATACCCATACTAACATACTGTATACTACATACTTAATTAGTATATACTACATACTATTAGTTCATTTTAGTATACTGCGTTGGTGACTGTAACTGTGCTGCGGGCAACAATTTCATAACGTTTTTTTGCTGACGTTTACTCACACCTACCATATTCAACGGGTGTTGAGCGTTCGTAAATTCATCCGTTATTCTGCGCGAGAGTGCTCTGAAATCGGAGTAGATAGCCAGAATGAAACGCACAACGACTATAGTCCTAGTTAGTTAGATACTTTCACGTCACAGAACGCTAAATTGTCGCTGGTCCCATCAGATAACATGGCACACGTTAGCCCACCCCAATTTGGCGGAAGATCTGTCTCCCTCCAGCAGGTGGCGTTTTCGCTTTTTCGCCCACCAAGCAAGGACTTTTTGTATGGAGGTCAATGAGTCTAATTTGATCAATAAAAAAGTGAATGGCTTATTTGCTACGTGAGGTTTATTTGATCGAATAGAAGTTTCGTAATGCTTAAGTTGTTATGAGTGTACTGATTTAAGTAGGACACGTGACATCCCGGCAACTTTGAGAAAAAACACTATATAGGAGTTGTCTCGAGATAGCGATGCATATTAATGGAATGAGGCTAGTAGCATAGCGTCTCTCTCCATTGAATACAGGCGGTTGACGTTAACAACCCTAATCGAATATTCCTAAATGGATTACAATGATGACATGTATCCACTAATCCAAAGAAAGGATAGGCGAGAGCTAGACAGCCCGCAATGCCGCTTTGTAGATAACGACTCCCATTGTTAGGGCGGAGAGACATCTGTATCTTGT